TCGAGGTAGTGGAGTCGGTGGAAGACCCCAAACTCGAGGTGATGGTAGCGGTGGAACACCACGTTGATGACCTTGGCGAACTACTCAGCAAAATGACGTGAAGGCGTAGGTCCTGCATGTACGGAAGATCGCGAGATATGATCCTGCAAAATAAGCAAACCAAAGGTGTCACCAAGATAAATCTTGTTAGGACCGCAAGTAGGGGCTAACCAGTTCCCCCACACTTAAGGATCACCTAGGCAAACAGTCTAGCTCAAAGTAGCTGTGTCACAGTAAGAACGTGGCATACCTGACACATTTCTAGCATGGGTCACAGCAAAAACATATGTAATCAGGCACCTAATCCGCATATCGCAATCATCCCTCGCCCTATCCTAATTCAATCATGCCAATCAATGCACTGTTCTCTGGCCTAACATCTACAATCCAATTTTCCAGAAATAACAAAAAAAAAAAAAAAAAAAATCAAGACACACACCTGGAAACACAAGTAGGACTATAGAGGGACGCGAGTAGAGGGCAATGGATGCGAAATAACACCGAAAATCAGCCCGGATGGTCTCGCCGCAGAGTCGGCGAAATATCATCGGCGGCGGCCGAAAAATGAAATGTCGCCCAAACAGGGCAAAATTTCTAGGGGAGGGGTGCCCCGCAGTGTAGATCCTCAATCCGCGATCGGATTTCAATTAGGAGGTCAGAAGTGGTCGAGATCTACGATTTGACGGCGGGAAGGCGCGTCTCCGGCAAGAGGAAAGGAGAGGAAGAGAGAAGGAAGAGAGGGGGTTATGAAAAAATGAGAGGAGAGAGAAAGGGGCGACCGGGTTTGAGTTTAAATAGGGGAAATACCTGACCTGGGCTAAAAAATATCGGTTCGGGTATTTGAGGCTGGCGACCGGGTATCAGCCCTTTGCCTGCCCAAGATCAGAAGGGGGCCCGACCGCACAACAAAAATACCCGGGCGGGGATTAGAGCCCCACGACTAGGTATTTGCCCCTTTTTCAGCTAATCTCTATTTTTTTTTTCATTTTTCGAATACCCCGGAGCCAGATGCCCCAGACCAAAGTATACCAGATGACCCAACTTAATCACACATCCACAAAGGAAAAAATCCAAAAGTACCACTGTTTAAAAAAAAAAATCCAAAAATACCACCCAACTCCAAAAAATTCCAAAAATAGCACCCTTTTTCAAAAACCGCCACCCCACCCTGCGGTTTACACGAAACTGCTTGTCGGGGGCGCGGATTTCTATGCAAATCGCGGGCCTAGGGGGCGGTTATAAAAAAAAATTGGACCAAACCGCTGGGTGGGGTGGCGGTTTGGCCCAAAACCGCCACCCCACCCAGCGGTTTGGTCCAATTTTTTTTTTTTCCGATCAACTCCTAACTTCGGCCGAAACTTCAAACGAACGTAACTTTGCACTCAAGTATCCGATCGTAGCGACTTTTTTTTCATTTCGCATAACTTTTCAAAATATACAACTTTTACAAGGATGAAATTTTCAAAACAGGAACTATTTGTGGATATACGGGACCTTGGGAATAACTTTACCTTTACTTTTCACAAATCCATGTACATTTTGAAATTATGATTATATTAAAAGTTGTAGATCTTGAAAAGTTATGCGGAATCAAAAAAATTTCATGACATTCGGATTTTGGAGCACAAAGTTATGGCCGCCCAAAGTTGACGAAATCAAACGGCTCAGTATGCGGGTTGGCAATCTCGATAGTGCCATATGGGAACACCCATATCGAGCGTCGTAAAGAAGAACTCAATCGCCAACTTGAAACTCCTTCGGGCCCCTCAATCGAGCGTCGTGAAGATGCTTAGTTCGCTCCTTGTATAGCTTGGTGTTCTCATAGGCGTGATAACGCCATTCCTCCAGCTCTAGCATCTGCATCTTGCGTTCAACACCTGCAAGACTCACATCCAAGTTTAGCAACTTAAGGGCCCAGAAGGCTTTGTGCTCTAGCTCAACAGGCGATGACATGCCTTTCCACAGACAAGCAGAAATGACGAAGTACCGATCGACGTCTTGTAGGCAGTTTGGTATGCCCAGAGAGCATCATCGAGCTTGGTGGATCAATCCTTGCGAGATTGATCCACCGTTTTCTCAGTTATGCGCTTAATCTCCCAATTCGTCAACTCGGCCTGACCACTCGTTTGGGGCTGGTAGGCCACAGACACCTTGTGAGTGACACCATAGCGAGAGAGGAGTTTATCGAATTGGCCCTGAAAATGGGTGCCTCTGTCGCTAATGATGGCTCTAGGCGTCCCGAACCGGGAGAACAACTGCTTAAGAAACTGGAAAACACGTCTAGCATCATTGGTGGGCAAAGCCTATGCTTCAACCCACCTAGAGACGTAATCAACAACAACTAAGATGTATAGATTACCAAATGATGGAGGGAAGGGGCCCACGAAATCGATAACCCAGACATCAAAAATTTCACAAGTAATAAACCCATTCTGGGGCATCTCATGAGACAGAATGCCCTCCATCTCATTGTCCATGACGCAGCGATGGATGACCCCGTCAGCTCCAATCCTGAAGAGATGCGGATCATCACAGAAGTAGTGCTTCAGGCCGGAGAAGAACTTCCTCTTGACGTGAGTCGTCATCCCCATGGGCAGCTGCTGGCCCACCAGATAGTTCACGAAATCGCAGAACCAAGGGGTGACACTCTCCACCAGGCACATGATCATCAATCGCTCATCTGGAAAGGATTCGTTGATCTCCTCCTCGAGGTTGTCCACAGGAGGTGCGTCCAACCAATAGAGATGATCAACATCAACATTTTTGGCTCCCTTCTTGTCCCGGAACTCGATGTCGAACTCCTACAGTAATAAGATCCATCGTATAAGTTGAGGCTTGGCGTCGACCTTGCTCATCATGTATCTTATGACAGAGTGCTCAATGTACACTATCACGCGGGGCAAGACCAGATAAGGGCGAAACTTGTGGAAGGCGAACACCACCGCTAGCAGCTCCTCTGTGGTGGTGTAGTTATCTTTGGCATAATTGAGGGTCTTCGAGGCGTAGTAGATAGGCCGAAAATGCTGATCTCGCCTCTGCCCCAGGACAGCTCCAACTGTGAAGTCGCTCGCGTCGCACATCAGCTCAAATGGTAAGGTCCAATAAGGAGTGACCATTATAGGAGCATGAGTGAGCTTCTCCTTCAAGGTCATGAATGCTGCTGTGCATGCGCCAGTGAATTGGAAACGGGCATCCTTCTCGAGGAGCTTCGTCAGGGGCAAGGCGATCTTCAAGAAGTCCTTGATGAACCGCTTGTAGAAACCCGCATGACCCAAGAAACTACGAATCCCCTTGGCTCTGTCCACCTCTATCCCCATCTTGGAGATCTTATGTCCCAGAACTATGCCTTCGCGAATCATGAAGTGGCACTTTTCCCAACTTAGCGCCAGGTTCGTCTCCTCACACCTTTTCAGGACGAGTTCCAGGTTACGAAGACAATGAGAGAATGAGTCTCCATAAACTGAAAAATTGTCCATGAACACCTCCATGATGTCCCCAACCAGACGGTCGAAGATGGCAAGCATACACCTCTGGAAAGTGGCGGGGGCATTGCAAAGCCTGAATGGGATCCTCTGGTAAGAAAATGTGTCGAAAGGGCAGGTGAAGGTGGTCTTCTCCTGATCTTCCGGTTCTATGGGAATCTGAAAATACCCGGACATCCCATCCAGGAAATAGTAGAACTTGTTCCCCGCCAACCTCTCTAGCATCTGGTCAATGAATGGCAGAGGGAGGTGATCCTTCCTGGTGGCATTGTTGAGGCGACGATAGTCGATGCAAACGCGGTACCCAGTCACCGTGCGAATCGGGATGAGCTCATTCTTTTCATTGGGAACCACGGTCATCCCACCCTTCTTAGCTACCACCTGAGTGGGACTGACCCACTCGCTGTCAGAAATGGCGAATATGATTCCCACGTCCATCAACTTGACACTACAACAAATTCGGTCTAATAGGACAAAAAATTTGTTTTGTCATTTTTTGTTTGTCACAATAGATACGGTGATATGACAAAAATAATATATGTCCTATTTGGTATGCCTAATGTGACAAAAACAATTTTGTCAGAATGGTTCGTCATTTAAAGTGAGGAATGTGACAAATATTTCGTGTCACAATTAAGTTTGTCAAAATAGGCATCCTATATCGGGATGTAAGAGGCACAAAAGTAAAAAATTCTATCGTCAGAGTAGCTTTTGTCATATTATATCTTCCTGAAATGTTTAAATGACAAAGTATTTTATCACAGTAGATAGCAATAATCCCACGACGAGCTGACAAAAGGGCATGTTCGCCATAATATAGTGGTTTCGACTTTGACAAAAAGGCATATTCTTCATAATATAGTGGTTTCGTTTTTGACAAAAGGCTTTTTCGTCAGATTTGATTGTGTTAGTTGTTAGGTTACCAGAGCGTGGAACGTGAGTGGGAGCGAGAGCGTAAGAGCGTCATTTTTCTTAGAATTCAATATTAAGAGGGTGAATAGAGCGTTAATATTTTATTAATTTTTAAGAAATAATAAATAAAATATAAGCAATATTATCATAATTTTAAATTTGTGATATTTGCATATTCACGTAAAAGAAAGCTTTGATGTTCTGTAATTTACATTTTACACAAGGACTAATTGATTGCATTATTTATTGTGGATTTCCCATAAACATATTATTATATTCACCCCAGGAAAACTTATATCGCTTTCATAGTAATAGTATTATTATAATAATAAAATGTTAATAAAAATTAAATTGCTTCACTTAAAAAAAGGATCAGTTCACATCTTTGGTACCAACAACCATCAACCCCTCTTCTCAATTTCTCCGCCCTAAATTCCCCTTCCTCCGTTGCCGCCGCAATCCAAATCTCTCTAATTAATCTCCGGGGTCGTAGGTTTCTCCTCAGACCTCAATTTATGTCCATAACTTTGACATTCTCTTTTTTTTTTCTTGGTCTGGTTCTCTCCTTTCCGATTGGGCTCCCATGACTCTCTTCTCCATGGGAATGAAACCAATCATCCTTTCCCTCTCACTCCTCTCGCCCGAAAAATCAAAACCGGGAATGAGGGCGGTGACAAAGATGGAATCGTGCGTTCAGGTATGTCTCCCTCCACTGTCAGTGTTCACTGTGAATCCCTCCGCCTCATTGATATCGGTATGCAGCTCTTAATCTTCTTCTAATGTATTTTTTTCTAGCCCCCTGCAGTTGCATTTGTTTAATTCATTTTTCCTGCAGGGGAGGATTCTAATGGTGTTTATTTTAGGCGAATGAAAATGATTGTTTCCTTATCCACTCTTCCTCTCTTAGTTGGTCTCCAAGAATCATTAGATGGGTTCAATGTTGCCATTGCTGCCGAGTGAATTTCTTCTGCCTTCTTTGCTTGTTGGTTTTCATTTTCTTTTGTTGTAGCTCATCTTATTTTGGTAACTTAATGACACCTGTTAGAGTGTGGCAATGAGACCCAGGACATGCAATTGATGACTTCAATTCTTTGTTTATTGATACAACAAGGTCAGGCGAGAGCGGTTATCTGCTGGTAAAGGAAGAGGTAAGGAAGGTGGTGTCTAAGGGCAAGGCTGCCGGTGTGCTTCGTCTTGCTTTCCATGATGCAGGAACCTTTGATATTAGTGGAAAATCAGGTAGAACTTTCGATTGCAAAACTTTCCGCTTCATGTTGCCTTTATGATTCATGTTTTCTAGCTATACACATTCTGCTTTAACAAACTTAAGCAATCAGCTTATGTAGCTACCTAGGTTCCTTTGAGAGTTATCTCTGAAATAGCTTAATGGCAATTGATAATTTTTTTTTCTCGACTTGTATGTCAATAATCAAGTATGAGGGGTCACTTGTTATGGTTAATCCACTACACTATACTGTTAATAGATGAATAGCACCATGGCAACAGTAGACATCCAGGTGCCTCTTGGGGACTTGGACTTCTGAAAGAAAATGGTTTTCATTATTCCTCCTGATTGGCTGGATATAAACCTTATGCCTCTCTTAACTTTGGATTGTCGGATTTTGGTTACTAAATATGATTGGTGTGTATTGGCTTTGTAGAAGCTACAGGGGGTATGAATGGTTCTATAATCTATGAGCTGGACAGGCCCAAAAATATAGGGTTAAACAAGTCCGTGAAGGCAAGATCTCTTACTATCTAGCTCTTCAAAAGCTAACATTCTTGTGTCTCTTCACTTTCTTGAGCCCTGAATGTGTACAAACATCTTCTATAATTGTGCAGTTTCATTGCAATCCCCAAAACTACACAAACTGCATCCAACCCAGCAAGCTAACTCTTTGAAGGTGTTTCAGATAATGTGGTGATGAATCGGCTGTTGAGGAACAACAACATACCTTATCTGTTGAGGAAGTGGATAGTTTGTTGGACAAGTGTCTTCTGCAAGCCCTCCATACGACTGTTAAAGACAAGGAAGCACTTTATGGTAATATCTGCTATGTTCTCGGAATTGATTAACTATTTTACCAAAAAGTAAAGGAAAAAGAAAAGGGGACCGATTAACTGAAGTTGACTATTTTGATCAGTTGGCTTTGGAAGGTTGTTGCCCAGATTTATATATTTGTGAATTTTTTTGTGTTCATTAAGTTTGTTTTTGCTGTGGTTTTCAATTTTGTTAGTGTTTCACTCGCTCCTGAATGATCTATGGGTTCCAACATGTCCAAGCCTTGAAGAACCATAAGCACCCACTCTGTCAGTAGAGTTTATTACCATTTTCTAAATCTCGACCTAGCATCCCCGTTTAAGAATGACAATGCTAAATGAGAAACTAGGTGATGGTTCTAATGGGTTTTGAAAGTCTTATAATATAGTAATGTGTTATTTACGGCTTTTGTCTAAGTCAAGAACCCTGATAACGTGTTTAGTAAGGAGTTTCTTAGGGAAAAGACCTTAGGAAGTAACGACGAGACTGACCCCTTCTCACTCACCAGGTTGAGGAAGGGTTAGCAGATGTGGATTTCGAGAAGAGGCAAGTAGCTGCACCAGCATTGATGAGAAGTCAAGGAACTCGTGAAGAGTCAGAGGTAGAATAGTTTAATTTCTTTGTTACATGGTTAGGAGTGTAAACTGGAGATTCTGAGTTCATTTATTTTAAGTATTGGGATTGTCATTTGCTCAAGTGTTCAGGCTTTTGTTTGAAATCTTATACATTGTTGGTTTATTTATTTTAAAGAGTTGCTTGGGTTGCTCCGGAGTAACCGGTTTTTGGTTTGAGTTATGGTTTGGTTTTCTAAAAAGAGCGGGTCGTTACACTTTGGTATCAGAGCCACACCGTTAAAAGAAATCCCAATCGGTCTCCCATTACCGCCGCTGTGCTTCCCTCCCACAAGCATACAAGCGTCCATCTTTGGCCTTTGGCGACGTGGAATTGGAGCAGTCCACTTACCATCTTCTTCTCCACCAAAGAGGAAACCATCGCCATGACATGGTTGCAGAGGATACCATCGCTAGTGAAGTGTTCAGTCACCGAGCGGCTGATTAGATGGCAATTGTGTTGTAATGCCACGCGCAGCAGGTTGCTGCAAATTATCGTTCAGTGATCAAAAAGGGGAGTTGGCGGAACTAGAGAGAAGAATTAATGGGCCATATTATCATTGGTTTCGGGATAAGCGAGGTCAAGCAAAGGAAAGGGTTAAGGTCGATGATGATGTTTGTGGGCAATTAGAATGGATGGACGGGGGTTTTTGGTACAAAGTGGACAAGTGGATTTTGGCATGCGGCTATTGGAAATCTTGTAAAGTGGGCGGCTGGTATGTTCCATAGGGGGAAAGATAATTGGTTCGCATGTCCATGTAAATAGCTATCTAAATAGCTAGAGATGTGCGATCAAGTCCAGCAAAATCAAGGAAGGGTTTCTTCGAGGAAAGAATCGAGGAGTCATCTTTTCGAGGTGAGTGTAAATAGGGTAATATCTCAGTCGTAGGTCTTTTAATTTACGCATTTCGTTTCAAGTTGTTACTTAGTTAATTTTCAAGTATGCGCGATATGTGTGCTAGGCATCTCACAGCCTACTTAAGGCGAAGGTACGCGTTGTGCTATATATGAATGTATAGATGTATGATTGTAATAGTTGATTAATGATAAGATGAACCCCCGGGCGGTTGGGTCACTACTGGACGGCGAGACGTAACGCAGTAGTTGACCGGGCATGGACTGGACGGAGAGACTTAACGCAGTGACATTGTCAAGTTTGGGTATGCAACCGGACGGCGAGACGTAACGCGGTTGGCATACTAGGGTAGGGACACCGGACGGCGAGACGTAATGCGGTGGTCCCTAGTGTTGGTGTCTATGGATTAAGAATATTAGTAAGGAAATTCTAAAGTTAAGATAGGAGTAGAGATCTCTTATAGCTGCTTGATAACAAATTATAAAGGATGAAAGCGAGAACAACTTTTGTCTAAGTTAAGAACCCTGATAACGTGTTTAGTAAGGAGTTTCTTAGGGCAAAGACCTTAGGAAGTAACGACGAGACTGACCCCTTCTCACTCACAAGGTCGAGGAAGGGTTAGCAGAGGCTGATTTCGAGAAGAGGCAAGGCGAGGCACGTAGCTGGACCAGCATTGATGAGAAGTCAAGGAACTCGTGAAGAGTCAGAGATAAAATAGTTTAATTTCTTTGTTACATGGTTAGGAGTATAAACTAGAGATTCTGAGATCATTCATTTTAAGTATTGGGATTGTCATTTGCCCAAGTGTTCAGGCTTTTTGTTTGAAATTCTTAAACATTGTCGGTTTATTTATTTTAAAGAGTTGCTTGGGTTGCTCCGGAGTAACCAGTTTTTGGTTTGAGTTATGGTTTCATTTTCGAAAAAGAGCGGGTCGTTACATTGGTTAGCTGCTAGAAACGAGAGAGGTGTACCCTCGCCTCTTCATCCTTGATCCCATAAAATTGGATGAAAGAGGTGATCAACTGGATCCAGCACGGCTTGATCTCGAAGTTTTTAGCTGGAATGGGCGGAAACTGGATGACTAGGCAAATGTCAGCGATCCGTGGCGTGTCAAATTGCTCCATAGTGGGACTCGGGGGAGGTAGCTGATGGATGGCAGCGTAGCTGATGGGACTTGATTTACCGGAGGAACCTGGAGGGGCATCCTCAGGGGCTGTACCTTGTTCAGGTTGTTCATCCGGTTATTCTCGTCTCCCTTGTCGTCCTCCTGTTCAGAGTCGCTGCTAATCCGACCGTCAATCTGCTATTTTGCCGTAGCCAGTCTCGCTCGCTGCACTCGCCTATGCTGGCGACAAGTCCGTTCTAGTTCTGGATCTAACGGTAGTAATGCTCCCGAGTGGTTACGGGTCATGCACTACCTGCACACAACCAAGCAAGCACACCCGTGAAGGCAAAAGTGGGGAAAAGCAAAACAATCAATGCGGAAAGGAAATACTAAAGTAAAAGAAATCACGTTTCTTCAATAACCTAGCCGTCCCTGGCAACGGTACCAAAAACATGACACGCTGAAACCGTCACACTAGAAAGTGGCAAAGTGCAACCACCTACTAATGCGTAGTATAGCGGGTTTAGTCTTAATTGTCAACTCGGGTCCTAGATGTGATGACTACTCCGTGAATTCTTGTTATCTAGCGGTTTAACTGTAGTGAAGTATTAACTAAGCTAACCAATACACAAAGCAGTAAAAGTTGTGGTTCAAGTTTGAGAGAGGTCACCCAGATATGGTTCCCCCTAGATTGCAGTTACTTCGGGTTATAATTCTCCAAGTTCATATTCAATGACAGTTATACTGCGGAAGGTTCTTATTTAGTCTGAAGTCTCGATTAAAGGTGTCCAGACCCTCTCAATCTGAATACCCGATGGGCGACTAACCTCAACCGGAGTAAACAAGTGGAGGCCCTTTTGTGCAAAACCTCCTCTACTGGAGTAAATCCAGTACAGAGCAGTGAATTGACGTCTCGACTAAAGTAATCAATCAGCACCTTCAATTAAGGGTGCTCTATCAACCTAGTCAGATATACTCTTTCTAGGTCAAAGCAAGAACTATAGGAATTTGATCAGAATTCATGCAATTAAGAAAATCATGCATCAATTGAATATAATCGCTGTCAAAAGTATGTACTTGGGTTCATACAACCAAACCTAACATACAAATCTAGGGTTCTCCATACCCAGGTGTGAGAGAGAGAGTTTACTCCATAGAGAGAGAAAAGAAATAAGCTTCAGATGCAGAAATCATTTTGTGGAGGATAAAAATCGGCTTCTGGTAATCAATCGGCACTTCTCCAAGCTTCAATCTAGCTCCAATGATGTTGAATATCGATCTAGGTCACTTTGGATGCTTTGTTCGACGCTTTCTCTCTAGGTTTTTGCTCTCTTTCTCCAAAACTCGAATCCACTTCCAAAGAACCCAAAATCCCCTTAAAAAGCAGCAGATCTCGAAACCCGGCCCAAATACCCGGTCGGGTATTAAAGGGGACCGGTCGGGTGTTCCGAAACGCGGCGCATCATGCAAAGGGAAAATACCCGATCTTGGGTTAAAATACCGGATCGGGTATTTTGCATCTTGGCCGGGAC